GACAAAAATTTTTTTGATGAAGTTGCGTGGCGTCCAAAAAATTTATTTGCAAGCTTCCTAAAATTTTTGCGGGCCCGCAACCGAGAAATTTCAGATAAAGGGGCGTGGCCGCAGCAACGCTTCAAAAATTTTTTTAGGTTAAATTGAATTCTTAAAATTTTCTAAGAATTATTAGGTCATTCCGAAAGTAATTTCGCTTTTTTTAAACGGACGCCACATGTGATGGAACAAAGATTTCTAAGAGACCTTGAAAGCATTCGATGCTGAATTTCATCCTCTTTCTAATGGTTATGAGATTATTGCAGCACAATCAACGAGCTTTTGAAAAATTACGAAAGTCTGTCATCCATGCTTTTTGAAATGCTCAAGTTTCATAATTTTTCTAAATTTTCCATCAATCCTCCAAAGGAGTCCAAGTAACGATTCGATAGAGCAAATCTCATAGGATAAGATGTAAATTTTTTCTCGTTTTTATATCTCGCCATACTTTCCTACAAGAGTTATTATTGAAAACATCGAATTTTGACATGCCTACGTCAGCCACATTCCATCAAACACCAATAAATGTTCGGAATTTGAAACTTCCAAGATGGTATTACGATTTAACACTAATTCTGCAGAGCGAGTAAGAGTTTACGGAGTTGAAATATCTAGTTTCGATTTTTCTGGGTACAGCCCGGAACGCGTTCGAAAATATGAATTATGATGATTTTGTATGCGAAAACTCCACGAAGGGGAAACAAAAAGCATCCATTAGAAAGAGGAGAACACGCTACATCGATTGACCCTCGAGCTGCTTACCGTTTGATGTTCTACGATATTTGAGTTGACCAAGAATGGAAATTGGTAGCATCAATCAAAATTCAAAGGAGGAGTTATGTGAAGGAGAGAAATATGGTTTCGTATCCTATGGGATTTGCTCTATCGAATCGTTACTTGGATTCCTTCGGAGGGTTGATGTATAATACAAATTTAGAAAAGTCGTGAAACTTGAGCATCTCAAGAAGCATGGATCGCAGACTTTCGTAATTTCCAAAAGCTCATTGGCTTTGCTGCAATAGTTTCATAACCCTTGGAAAGAGGATAAAATTCTGCGTCGAATGCTACCAAAGCCTCTTAGAAATCTTTGTTCCATCACATGTGGCGTCTGTTTGAAAAAAACGAAATTACTTTCGGAATGACCTAATATATTAATTATATATGTATATGCAAGTCCCTTGCATCAAAAATCAGTTATAGGCAGCGCGTAGCTAGAAGTTCACACATTATTAACAACAAAGAAATAAAACTTAAAGACAAATGGATATAGGGCGCCTTTGAGAAGTTGAGCAGTCAAATGCGTCAAATTTGGAGGGCCTTCTCCAATTAATAAATTGCGAAAAGTCAAAATTGCCAAACCTTTGCACGATAAGTTAATCCATTAGGTGAATACGAATGTCATATTTGTTTGTCGCTAAGCTAAATTTTCAATAAGCGCCTTCACGAAAGAGGCGCTTTTATGCGAAACTGTCATTTTTGTGATTAACATGTCGAATAACGCCCATGGGCCAAGTTTCAGCGAAACCTGGCGTAATCTAAAACGTAACCCTTAAATAAGGTGGCAAAATTCAGCAAAAATGTTTGCATTTGAAGTTTACATCATAATCCTTACATCGCCAAAAAGTGAACGCGCTATGTCCAAAATGACAAAAGTTACCTAAAAATTTGCGTCACTTTTGTGCCAATCTAATAAATGTAGTACGTGCAAACTCACAACTTATACATGCTTTTTTGACTTACAATGTCTTCGTGATGAACGATAAAAGCTTATCTTCCAATCCCACCGTTTTAAGCAAACATTCTGCACAACTTTCGAAGAGAAATTTTGCGTTTTAGCTAAAAAGGATGACACTTTTAGGGCAGTATCATCAACTCCCAACCTTAATCGAGCGCTGCTTCACCGTTTTAAACGTCCCATCATTCCTTCGAGCACTCCTTTATAACGGTGAAACAGCGCTCGATTGAGAGTGGGAGGTTTTAAACACTGCCTTGGAAGCATTCTTTTCAATCTAAACAGCAAAATTCCTACAGAACTTCTTATTTCTCATAAGGGAACGATGGTGTCCCTGGCCTTTGGAGATGATACATATACCATCACACTCGCCTTGAAACACCGATTTGAATCTGACTTCCGTCTCTGCTAATCGTTTTTCTGAAAGGAGTTATGAAGGATTTTCGCGTCAATGGTCGCCTAAGAATAAGGGCCGTATGCATTAACAACCCCACTGGGGAGAGGATTGCAGCTCGGAAGAAAACTTCATATTATAAAGCTCCTATATCCAGATTTCAAACTGTTTACCTGTCCGCAAGTATTCCTACTATCCTTCACTATGAACATATTGAACAGGAGCGAGAAGCTGTACAAGGCAATTTCCAGCTTTTGTATGATCCCTGATGATCCCCGGCGCTTTTCTTCATAGTCATTTTTCTTTCTTTAAAGTCAACGAAAACCTTTCAAAGTTGTACTGATTATCTAAAACAACAGTGCTAAGCATGTTACTGATGAGAACAAATGAGTCTTTGAAAAATCGATAAACCACAATTTTCGGCTTATGGTTCATCGCAAATTTCATGGCGCCGATACATCACTTGTTCTTATTAGCAACATCTAAGCGCTTTTGGTTTAGATAATCTGGACAACTTTGGAAACTTCTCGTTAACTTTGGAGAAAGGAAAATAACTTCAAAGAAAAGTGCCGGGGATCATCAGGGATCATATAAATACTGGAAACTGCGGCTTGTACAGCTTCTCGCTGCTGTTCAATGTGTTCATAGTGAAGGGTAGTAGGAAACTTACGGTTACGTAAACAACGTTAAATCCAGATATCTGGAGCTTCAGGATATGAAGCTTTCTTTTAAGCTGCGATCCCATTCCCGCGGGTTTGTTAGTGCATGCTGCCCTAAGAGGAATACTGTCGAGCATAGGTGCGATAGTGTGAGAATTTGCTCATCCCCCCTCCCCCCCTTTCAACCCTTGAGCCGGGACCAAGGTGACCCCCTTCACCAAAAGCCGAGAAAAAAATCAACAGTGAGGTGAGGATAAGCAAAGGAGATTTTTGTACGGGAATTGTTTGTGCACCGGAAACGAAGGAGAAGATTTATAGGCATTTGCACTTCCAGGAGGAAAAAAATAGTAGCTTCTGTAGTTGCGCAGCAAGTCAGCAAGGAAAGTTTCCACAACGTTCTCTCTGGTTTCAGGGAATAAATTGTTTGCCTAGAGTCCGTCTATAGAAGTACCTAATGAAAGGTATGCTTAGTGATTTCTGGACACTTACGAGTTTTCAAAATAAAAAACCATATATTTTGTAGATGGATAGCTGGTACAAATAAATAGTGACTATCGAAACGCCTCATCCACCGTTTTTAGATGATCTGTGGTATGTCTGAGATCCGTCCAAAAAACTGCCTGGGTGAAGGGTGTGCTCAGTGATTTTTGGAGATTTTCGAGTTTCTAACATAAAAAAATTCATAAGTCGTAGATGAACATCATGTACGCCGATATGAACATCATTAGAACCGTCTCGTCCTCTTTCAGAAAATACATACTATGCCTGGGGTTTATTACAAAAAGGCCGGGTGAAGGGTGGGCAAGAGTTTTATAATGGGAGTGCTCAGGTAGACGTCTTTTCACAATGGTAAAAAGCCTCTACTTCAGCACTCCCATTATAAAAGTTTCACCCAGAAATCACTAAGACAGCCTTCACCCAGGCACGTTTTTAGTACTCCACGCAAGGTATATATTCTCTGAAAGCGGAGGGCGGGGCGGTTGCAACGGTAACCATCTCCATGTACTATCTGTTTATCTTCAGAAAGATTTTTTTAGCCTAAAAACTCGTAAATATCCAAAAATCACTATCCACCAGGCACTTTTTTCAACAGAATTCAGGCAAACTATATATGCTCTAAAAGCGGAGGACAAGATGGTCTTAAAAACATTTCCCTTGCAGACGCTGCTGTTCATTTACAAAAATTACGGATTATTTTCTGAAAAAAATTCGTGAATGCTTAAAAATTGTCTAACTCTTTCCGAAACAAATCTTCTCGCACGCACATCTTTTATAGAATATCGAGAACAGGAAGAATGATGTAGAAAGGGGAAAAGGAAAAATGTAAAAAAATACAAGGTGCTGGTCAGAAACATAATTGTGTGCTAATCCAGCAGCACATCGGTTCATGTTTCAGAAGATAACCAGTGATGGCAAGGAGTTAAAAATTATAAACTTTGACTAGCAAAAATGATGAAAGAACACCATGGCTGTCCCCTCTCCCCCGGTCGACATTTTATAATTTCTCTACCAAGTGAAACACTCCCTAGAGGGGTCATTTCACTTTATCGCACCCATGCGGTCGAGGATGCCTAACTTTCAAAAAGGTTGACTGAGGCAATGCAAAACCGAAAAACACAAAAGGACTCAAACCCAAACCTGCATTAACTTGTGAATCATCGCACTAGCAACTACACCACATCATTCCTGCGATTTTGGAATTCCAACGATATTCCCCTTAGCGCGAAAATCCTTCATAACTTTTTATAGAGAAACGACTAGCAAAAACGGAAGACAGATTCGGAAACAGCGCTCCAAGACGAGTGTAATGGTATATATCTCAGCTTAAGGCCACGGACACCGAGCATTGTTTCCTTGTCAGAGAGATCTCGCAATGAGTTTTTACAACCGCTACTTATCGTTAGAGCAAGTTTTCTTTTAAGAGTTTATAAACTCAGAAAAGTTCTTGGGTAAATTTTGGAAACTATTTTAATGATGAAGCTTGCTTTGCGAGCCAAGACACTCTGAATCTGGAACGTTCTACTGCATCCCAAAGGCAGTGGCTCGATCAAAGATAAGCCTAGTTTACTTAATGAGATGATAATCTTGCTGAAGTATAGAAATTTCAATGGTCAACCGTGGATTCTTGCAACCTGAAACGACTTGGTAGTGTAGAGCAAAGCTAAAATTAGTCTACCTGTTCAGTTGCCAATAGTTCTGAAGGGCAAGAAGAGGTAGCGAACACCTTGCAACCCACAGATTTCCAAGTGTTGTTGACTAGCTTGTCTGTGCATTTACGTACCCATTCCTGTAACAACGAGCTTACATGGAAATCAACGTGGTGAAATGAGCGTACCTGTGGTGGAGTCAGTTCAGGAATTGCAAAACCAATAGCCAGCATGACTATGAGTGAGAATCTTGTTAGCATCATTTCTCAAACTTACAAAATTGCAGTTTTGAGAATGTTTCAAACATATGTAAGCGATTGCAAAACGCTTATGATATGCTAATAATTAGCTTTGAACTTGATCTAAGAAAGGACACAAGTCGAAGTGGTCACTCATCACAGGATGCATAACGTTACTGATAAAAAAACTACACAAAGCTGCAGGGGCTTGCGAAGTGTTTTATGCTAAATTTTTTTTGAACGGTAGTCTCTCACGTGCCTCGAATCTGCTAGAGGATTGTCAAGAAGAGGTCGTAGGGAATATGTAAAAGAAATTGTAGCTAAACAAAAAACAAAAAAGAAAACAGGGTTGTGTAGCAGCCTTGGGGTACAAATGTGTAGGGCTCGGCACAGCTGGCATCGGGTCAAGCTGGGTATCGTTTTTGGGACAAAAAGCAAGAGGGAATTGTTTTTGTGGCCGAAAGGAAGCAAAAATTTCGACGTTTTTGAGTCCACGTTTCATCTTTTTTTGGGGGGGGGGGGGGTTACATTTAGGGTTTAGGGTCAAAGGGATCTTCGCAAATAATTTCCAAAACCAGGGGACTTCTTTTGTACTTTGCCTGGCGCCAGCACGTGCCGAGCCCTGGAGTGTTTAGCTACCGTACAGGCAATGTGCAGCACAGCCCCTTGTAAGAAAACAGCAGTGGCGTTTCCAGGACTTCGGACCAGGGGGGGGCGACAAAAAAAAATTTTCAAGTGAAGGTGCGTGGCATTAGCCACGCACTCCGAAAAAATTTTAGGGATGCTTCTCAAAATTTTTGGGAGTCCCCAAGCCCTGAAATCTGGAAAAGGGGGCGTGGCGTCAGCCACGCCCCCGAAAAAATTTTTTCACAAGGCTAATTTGAATTTTCAAAAATTTTTGAAAATTATTTTACTTATTTACAAAAACAAACAAGTCGTGTGCACACTTTTATGACCCACATAGGCAAGTTTCAAAAACTTCGCGACCCATTCTCGGGGGGGGGGAGAGGGGGGGAGGCGCCCCCTCCCCTCGGTCCGCCACTGGAAAACAGTGACGCCAAATCTGTATAATTTATTTACGAAACTCTTCTTTGAAAAGAGTTATGAGCATTTTCTAAAGTAAAGATTGAATGCGCGGGTAGCAGTTGTTTTTAACTTTTCCAATCATTAGAGCACTGGCGAGCATCAGGATACCAGTAGAATGAAATATTACCTAATACACTGCACATAGCACTGTCCAATTTGCCCACCAAGAAGATATCAGGGAACCGTGCGGGAGTATGAACGCTTTATGAGATAAGCCTTTTGCGCACAAAAGGGTGCTCATTGCTCGGACTTATGTTCGCTAATCCCGAACTGGGTGGTCGCAGGGAGTACCTGACAGAACGCAGAAGATGCAAAATCTGCTTGGGATTGTTTTGTTCGGGGTGAAGACAATGCCGCAAATGGGCCACTCCCTGTTTTCATTGTCGCAAATACGGCCCACCATTCGTCCCTCTGCGAACTTCCAGAAGTGAGTCCGCTTATTTTGGCGAGGCTGATTTGGGCTTGCCAAGCGCTTGGGCGAGTACGAGCGCGACTGCATAGAGACTGGATGAAGAGTTCAACGTCTATCTGAATCACTAATCAAGATGGGTTGGCAGTATAGTGGCTTCAAACCGCAAGCTGCAAATTACAATCCCCTTTCCCATGCTATGTTATCATTTAAGCTGATCTTTTTTTCCAGGATGAGCCATGACAAAGCATAACGTGAAGCGATGATGAGGGTAAGGTCTCAGCAACAACGCTATTGTACGGCAGTCTCTGAAAGTGCCTCTCATTCTTTGGCAGAAATTTCCTTTTCTACATACATCTAACAAGTCAAGTCTTGTCCATGTTGCGAAGGCCTAGCGTTTGTGCGCCGGACTGAAATTTCCTGCTACTAAGCCTCTGGTGCGCCTTTTGTAAATGCTCAAAATTAGAGTAGTTTGATGTGATAGAGGTCTACCTGTTAGAATTGCGCTTAAGCAGTTCGAAATATCGCTATAAGCACTTTGATTTCATTTGCTTATTCAGTAGAACTTGGTTTTAGTGTACCGTTGTTATTCTGCTATGGCAGGGGTTTGATTAACCAAGTTTGAGGTTTGCAACGTCGCATTAAAGTTGCTTGGTTTTGGTCGTGTTCGTGTGTAGTTGGTCAACAAGACATCCATTGAACCACGACATTGACAGGTAAATGGATAGGTAAAATAAAAAAAATTGGATAACAATAAAATATAGCATGAATAATTAAAGATATCGTGGAGTCGTTAACTTAAAGTGTGTATCGCAGAAAACGCGCGCTAACTCTTCCAACTGATTTTCTGCCAGTTATCAGGCATTTCCTTGTTCTCTTTTCTCTTCTACTAGCTTGGTTCAATCGAGATAAAATAATAGTAACTCCACAGTTTGTTCCGCTAGTGGCGAATCGCTATTAGGGTGATCCAAAGTAATGGGGCACCGATTTTTTCTGATTAACCGTGAACAACCGACAACTTGAAATCTTTTGTATAAAGTGACCTTAGCAAGTTATCTTGGCATCATCTTGCAGCACCTCACCTACAATTCTTTGAGCGGTGCTTTGATGAAGTCGGACAAAATTTTCTCAGCGCCATCTAGATTTGTGCTACTGTACCCCAAAGCCTATAGACGATATATTAGTCAAAAGAGCTTTGAATGTACAATGTACATTCTTCATTTTTCGTATAAAAGAAAACTTTATTTGAAAAAGTGATGTTTGGCGCAAGGCTAGAAAATGTTTTAGCCCTCATTTTTGAAAATGAGATTATTCGAGATAAACTGCTGTGTACGGAGGGCGTAAAAAGCTCTATTAGACAGCAACTATCAAGGGTGAGCTCAATCGATTACTTGAGAGAATAGATAGTTTTCAAAGCGTTAAGACCACCAGGCTATGGCGTTTCATGCCGCATAAGACAGTATACATCACATATAGAAACTGCGCTTCAACCAAGTATCCTTCCCTTGTCAGAAAGAGATTGAAGCTAGACCATCATTTATCAATAAGCTTGCTTTATTCTATTCAAAGACAATGAAGGATGAAAAAGCGACGAGCTGAGGCACCATCGCTACAGCCGCAGAGCTAGCAATGGGCTCGTGAGTTGAAGTGTGCTGTGCTGGTCTCCTTAAATGGAGAATCACCCTGAGTGAATCACATGCCTTGTGAAAATTTCATCGAAATGGATTCTTGTGTTTTTGATGTGAAATTTTTACGGATTCTTGTTGTTTTGGAAGCATCTGTCTTATGAGAATCATCTATTTTGGAATGAAAAAGCGCCCTGTGTGATTTGCCTTGTGAAAATTTCATCGAAATGGATTCCTTTTGGAAGCATCTACCTTATGAGAATTATTCATTCTATTGGAACGAAAAAGCACCCTGAGTGAATCGCTTGCCTTGTGAAAATTCCATCGGAATGTATTCTTTTTGGAAGCATCTATTTTATGAGAAATATCTATTCTACTGGAATGAAGAAGCGCCCTGGGTGAATTACCTGCCTTGTGAAATTTCAACGCAATGAAATCTTTTGAAAGCAACTGTCTTATGAGAACTATCTATTCTAGTGAGTTTTTGAAAGCATGTCTTATGAGAATTATCTATTTTATTGGGTTGTTCCAAAAGTAGACTTCTTTTTCAGATAAATCAAGCTGTTCCAATCAAGCTTGTTTACCTAGCACCCTTAAGGTATCACCAAGCGAAGCAAGCTCTACAGAGTGGACTCCAAAGATCCACCTCGCCATAACCCAGGTAAAGTTTAGACCCGCGATCGAAAATAGTGTTTTCACCCAAAAATCGAATTTTCGCGAAGAAAACTCCTACGAGCCTCCAACTTGGCTATTACAGTAGACACACAGCAACTTGAATTTGCCTTTACTGGATTTTTCCCGCGCATAGAAAGCGAGAAACAAAAAATATCCAAAACAGATGGGCAAACTCCACCGAGCCCTTCCCACCTATGTCATCTTATATATAAAGCTGAATGTCTGTTTGTCTGTCTGTATGTCTGTCTGTCTGTCTGTGCGTACGTATGTTCCGAATAGAAAATTCCATTTCTGAACCGTTCCGGACCAAACTTGGCACACATACACTACGGGCCCCGGCGGGTGTCATAGGCTACTTTTCGTCATCGATCGATATCGATTCTATCGATTTTTTGGAAAATTGGAGCTACAGGGCTGGGAGTTGGCACAGGGGGTAATCGAGCATGCTGATCACCCCGGTGGGGTGATCAGCATGCTTGATTACACCCCTCTGCCAAATTCCAGCCCCCTAGGTCAAATTTTGCAAAAAATCGATAAAATCGACATCGATCGATAACGAAAAGTGGACTGTGACACCTACCGGGGCCCGAAGTGTAAGTGTGACAAGTTTGGTCCGAATCGGTTAAGAAATGGAATTTTCTATTCGGAGCATACGGCGGAGCCGGGTAAGCCAGCTAGTTGTATATATACTACAAGCCTTAATAAGTACAACCTTATAATATGAACTCTGTATAGGCAGTGGCGATCGAGAAACACCAAGTTTAAACCCGAAAAAATGCCATTTTTGCATTTTTCGTCCATTTTGATTTCTCAGTTTTAATTCCTTGAAAAATCCACCAAGCACTTTTTTTGCTACTACGTGTCTAATGTATAATGTCCAAGATCGTGGTCTTAGAAATTTTTTGGAAGAACTTCCGATTTTTAAAATATTTGAAAATTGCTGGCTGCAAATTTTACTTGACGAGTCAAGCGGAACTCTAAAGAGTTATTTTGTAGAGCTTGCTTTGCTCTATAGATATAATACCCTGAGGCTGCTAGGAAAACAAAAACTGTTCGATTTATCCAGAAAAGAGTTACTTTTACGACAATCTAATGCTTCTTATCTTTTTTAGGTCAAAGTACTAGAATTCATGCTTGAATCCACACCATTTTGGGCTCGTTTTGCTAAAGGGACTTCCACAGTGCCTCCGTAAAACTTCTAGCCACTATCATATTGCAATTACCACAATGTCAAAACTTT